TTCACATTAAATAAGGGTGCTACATTCAAAAACAAGCCTTTCCGGAGATGTTGATTATTTTTTCATTTTTGCCCCTATTTACTCTTATTTTCCTCGACTTCTTTAAATGTATACAATTTTGTTACGAAATGTGATGGTGCGAGAAATAAATGTTATTCACATCAAATAATGGTGCCGTGTTCGAAAACAAGCCTTTCTGGAGACGTTGATTATTTTTTCGTTTTTACCCCTATTTACTCTTACTTACTTTGACTTCTTTAAATGTATATGATTTTGCTACAAAACGCAATGGTGCGATAAATATATGTTATTCACATCAAATAATGGTGAAGTGTTCGAAAACAAGCCTTTCCGGAGACGTTGATTATGTTTTTCGTTATTGCCCCTATTTACTCTTATTTTTCCTCGACTTCTTTGAATGTATACAAACTTGCTTCGAAACGCGATGGTGTGAGAAATATATGTTATCCACGTCAAATAATGGTGTCGTGTTCGAAAACAAGCCTTTCCGGAGATGTTGATTATTTTTTCGTTTTTTACCCTATTTACTCTTATTTTTCTCGACCTCTTTACATGTATACGATTTTGCTTCGAAACGCTATGGTGCGAGACATATATGTTTATCCACATAAAATAATAGTGTCGTGTTCGAAGAAAAGCCTTTCCGGAGACGTTGATTTATTTTTCATTTTTGCCCATATTTACTCTTATTTTCCTCGGCTTCTTTAAATGTATACGATTTTGCTTCGAAACGCGATGGTGCGAGAAACATATGTTATTCACATCAAATAATGGTGCCGTGTTCGAAAACAAGCCTTTCCGGAGACGTTTATTATTTTTTCGTTTTTGCCCCTATTTACTCTTATTTTCCTCGACTTCTTTAAATGTATACAAGTTTGTTACGAAACACGATGGTCCGAGAAATATATGTTATTCACATCAAGTAATGGTGCCATGTTCGAAAACAAGCCTTTCCGGAGACGTTGATTATTTTTTCGTTTTTGCCCCTATTTACTGTTATTTTCCTCGAGTTCTTTAAATGTATACGATTTTGCTACAATACGCGATGGTGCGAGAAATATATGTTATTCACATCAAATAATGGTGTCGTGTTCGAAAATAAGCCTTTTCGGAGACGTTGATTATTTTTTGTTTTCGCCCCTGTTTACTCTTATTTTCCTCGACATCTTTAAATGTTAACAATTTTGTTACGAAACGCGATGGTGCAAGAAATATATGTTATTCATATCAAATAATGGTGCCGTGTTCGAAAACAAGCCTTTCTGGATAATTTGATTATTTTTGTAATATCCCGATATTTTATCGGTATAAATTACGTTTTAGTTCCGATATAATAATGTTAACGTTTATTAATTTCGGAATTAATTATTTTCAGTCGAGATTACCGAAATCTATTTTCGACGTACCGTTTACGTTCGGAAAAATTTTGGTAATTAAGTATTATGTTTAATTGAATAATTAAACATACTTAGTGATTAATTAAGCTAATTAATCACACTTAAGCATTTAAGCCGTGTGATGTTAAGCAAAATTTGCCCCAATTTATGCAAATGCCGTAAGGAAATAAGGACTTGGTCCAAATTCAATTTTTCTTCACTTTTCCTAGGCCTTAAGCCATTGTATTTCTTCACCCATTCATTAACACGTGGCCTTATAAGAGGATAGTTTGAGGAGATTAGTCATCAAATGTTAAGCCATCAAGTGGCAAATGTCTTAAGCTAGGGAGGCCACGTATGAGCTACTTCATCACCATTCCCTTGGGGCTACTAGTATAAAAAGGGGTGTTGATTGAAAATTTCCACTCCTTCCTTAAGAAACAATCAGCAGATCTCCCCTCCTAACTACCTTCACGTTCAGCAGCAAGTAAGTGAAGTAATTTCGCCCAAATATTCCTATACAACGCACGACGTACACGCGGGAGCTAAAGGAGGTCACAATCGGTTTGATTATTCCGACGAACACCTGTGAAGGTATCTTCCTCCTCATGTTAGAATCATATTAGTAGAGTCATTTTAAGGTTAATTGTTCAAGAAATTTTCAGAAATTCTTAAGAAAATGCATGTTGAACTCGGTTAAGGGCATGTAAGTTCTATACCGAATTAAGTTTAATTTTGTCCAGCAAGTCATGAGCAGTTCTTATTTGAAGAATAAGGTTCCGCTGAGTAAGATCGGTCGGTAAAAGTTGGATTTATGTTCATATTATGGCTCAAGGGGGGCGGCTGCGCACCTAGTGCACAACCGCGGGCCATGGAGGGCTTGATGGCCTCATCTTTCAGTATGGTCTAATTGTTCCGAACAGTTTGTGTTTAAAAGATCGTGTTATGTCAATTTATAGTTATTCAGTTCATGTTGGTCGAAGTATTGTTAAGATTGTTCGAGTTTTGGCCAGGAGACGGCGTATAGCCGTCGGCGGCGCACGGCGCGCCCGCCACGGTCCTTTTATGTTCATCGTGCATCAGTTGCGTTTCAGGTCTTGATTGGTAACTGTAGTCATGTTATGTTCAGTATGTTAAGATGGTCGAGATCTTGTTCAGTTTGGTCGAGGACTTGGCCGAAGGCCGTAGGCCTCGCACGTAGCGAGCGCGCCACGGCCGAGGGCTAAGTTCGGTAAGCA